AAAGATTGGAGATAGAATTAAACATTTGACAGCAACCATCATTACAAATGTGTGTGTGTGTGTGTGTGTGCGTGCGTGCGTGCGTGCGTGCGTGCGTGTGCGTGCGTGCGTGTGTGTGTGTGTGTGTGTCATGCATTTATTCTCAGTGGTCTGTGCTTGAGCAGCTAGATTCAGGGAACTGCCAATAAAACAATAAAGCAGAAAAAAGGAAGTACTTTTGTTGACCGTCAATGTTTTAAATAGTCATCTCAGATAAGTGTGTCCTTGTGTTGTGCCTTTGTTAAAGGTCTAGAATACCAAAACACCATTATTTCAAATGAATAACAAATAGAGGATATCATTATTATACAGTTGTTACTGTAGCAGACACATTCCATGACAGTGAAAATACTGTACTGTATGTGTATTAGGGTTCAACAATACCCTATTATACCCCTTTCCACAGAGGCAGTTCCAGGGCCAGTTCCAAGCCGGTGCCTATCGCAAACAACTAAGAGCTGCATATGTGTGACCGAACCCTACAAATACTGTTTAGTTGGTTGCCTCTACTAGTCAGACTAGCTTCAAAGGCTAGGCTTACATGAGAGGAATTTCACATTATCCAATCCTTTATTTATGGTACTTTTGGCAACATAACTTTAGAGAAGAGTATACATTTATAGGAGTCGTGGCTGCAATTGAATCTGGTCATGTAAGTTTAGAAGCACCATGAGCATAGCTCTGGTATTGTTTTTGTGAGGGATATTCATATCGCCTTCAAAGCAACGTAAACAATGACGTCAGAGGTGTTCACGGACATATTTAATAGGTCACTAAAACCAGCAGCCTCAACGACTACCGCCTACTACGGACCTGACATGGACTCATCACTGAGGACCTGACATGGACTCATCACTGAGGACCTGACATGGACTCTTCACTGAGGACCTGACATGGACTCATCACTGAGGACCTGACATGGACTCTTTACTGAGGACCTGACATGGACTCATCACTGAGGACCTGACATGGACTCATCACTGAGGACCTGACATGGACTCATCACTGAGGACCTGACATGGACTCATCACTGAGGACCTGACATGGACTCATCACTGAGGACCTGACATGGACTCATCACTGAGGACCTGACATGGACTCATCACTGAAGACCTGACATGGACTCTTCACACCACCACCATCACCAAAAAAGCTCGACAGTGGCTCTTCTTCCTTCGCAGGCTGAGGAGGTTCAACATGGACTCCAGGATACTCTGCAACTTCTACAGGTACACCATAGAGAGGATCCTGACCTTCTACAGGTGCACCATAGAGAGGATCCTGTCCTTCTACAGGTACACCATAGACTAGAGAGTATCCTGACCTCCTACAGGTACACCATAGAGAGGATCCTGACCTACAGGTGCACCATAGAGAGGATCCTGACCTTCTACAGGTGCACCATAGAAAGGATCCTGACCTTCTACAGGTGCACCATAGAGAGGATCCTGACTGGCTGCATCACGGCCTGGTACGGCAGCTGCACCGCCCTCAGCCGTAAGACTCTACAGAGGGTGGGGAAAAC